GTGTGTGTGTGTGTGTGTGTGTGTGTGTGTGTGTGTTTGGATGGAAGCAAGGCCTGTGGGGACTGCTGCCTTATGACTAGCCAGGACATTGGGATCTTAGCAGGTCCTGGTAGACCAGTAAAGTATGAAACAGCTCCCATGCTTTTGCTTCAAGTCCTGACGTGTGATTCACTGAAATTTAGCCACAATCCCAGGAAAAGGGAGAGATTGAAAGGAGTTTGGGTTTCTATCACCCAGGGGAGTATACTGGCTCGAAATTGAGATTAAGTTGAGTTATGGAGTATACTACTTGCAGAAAACATTTACTGAACCCCTGAGATTCTAGAATCTAGGCTAGGCATCAGGGCTGGGGGCTGAAGGAAACAAATGAGTAAAATAAGGACCTGTCAGCAGCCCCTCTGTCTGCCTTCCTGAATGAGAAGTGATACCAGGGCTGGACTTCCATAACAAGCTTTTCAGTGCTTGTAACAGGAACCACTGATGCTTCTGAGGTAGACACTTACTTTGTGCTAATTCTTGTACCAAGAGTGCCCTTCATCCCATTTTAAACAGGCTCCTGGGGCTAAGAGACATTAGGCAGTTTTTTGCAAGACCACACAGCTAGTAATTTTCCCAAGACCACACAGCCAGTAAAGTGGCCAAGTTGGGATTTAAACCTAGATGGATGTGGTGGGTTGAATTGTGTCTACCCCAAAAGTGGCTGAGGTCCTAACTCCAAGTACCTGAGAACATGACCTTATTTGGAGAGAGGATCTTTACAGAACTAATCAAATTAAAATGAGGTCCATTAGGGTGGGCCCGATCCAATATGCCTATGTTCTTAGAAAAGGGGAATATTTGGACAGACACGGACACAGACACAGGGAGACTGCCCTGTAATGTTGAAGGCAGAGAATAATGTGATACATCTAACAAGCCAAGGAATGCCAAAGATGGCCAGCAAGACCCCAGAAGCCAGGAGAAAGGCCAGCAACGGATTCTCTCTCACAGGCCTGAGAAGGAACCAACCCTGCCAACACTTTGATCTTGAACTTCTAGCCTCTGGAACTGTGAGACAATGAATTTCTGATGTTTAAGCCACCCAGTTGGCGGTACTTTGTTACAGCTGCCTAGGACACTAGAGCAGTGACTGACTCCAAAGCCTGTGACTTAAAGCCCTGAGTTCCACAACCATTTTGCGGGACCTTATGCTGCTGCTACAGCTGGCTTCTGGGCCACAATGTTTCTCTTTTCCCTCTGCTTTATTAACCCTTCCTCATCTCCTCCCATTTCCTTTGAACTATTTTCTCTGTGTTTTTAATTGAAGTCATTTCTATGTTTTCTTATCAAAATCTGACTCAATTATCTTATGATTCTACCTTACTAGGTCACTGGGAATTCCAGAAACATATTAGACCTCTGAAGTGTGGCTCATGTCACTTCCTGCCTGACGTGCCCTCTACTGTATGCCAGTGACCACCTGGAAACTCTTAATCATCCCTCAAGGGTGAGCTCCTCCAGTCCCCCTTCTATAAAGCCATCCCTCAGTCAGATTTATTGTCTGCCTCCTCTAACATCAACAGCAGGAGAACATTTCACATGGAATCATCATTGGTAATAGATCTGGCTGTCTTTAAGTACCTTGAATGCTTCTTGAAGGCCCAGGAACTATAGGGGTATTAAATTTCCCCATGTGCCAAGACAGCTGAAGCTGTCGACTTCCACTGAAGGGCCTCACTCTTTGCCCGCTGGTTTCTCAAACTAGCCTTCCCATGAAGAGGAAACATGTTCGAATTACTCTGTACTTGGCATATATCTACCCTATTAACAGATTTTTTCAGTCCAGGCAAGAAAAGCCAATCCCACTTCCTTCCTATCCCCTTCCTGTATTTTATTTAACAAGGCTTTGTCATCTCCTTGAACTGGCCTCAGCAGACATGATTTGGCTGGGTGAGCATTTTTATTTTGGCATTTGAAGATGGTGTTGGTGTGAGCCTTCTGTCCATATACTGTAAAAGAACACAAACAGAATGAAAACATTCAGTTTGAGGCCATGGATCCTGTCCAGTTCCAGATGAAGGCAGAAGCCCTGCTCCTCCAGGACCCGAGTTCTGGCTGGCTGGCTGAGAGCAGAGAAACGGGGAGTGAGGTTCACAGCGGCCACCACTGCCCAGTGGGACACCTGCCCTTGACAGCCGCAGGAGCTGGGAGGACCTGCTGGCCCAACCCTTTGCAGGGGCTCTGCTGAGAACTCTTCCCCTTCCTGGGAAAACAAATCTACCTCCTGTGAGGAAAGCTCAGTGTAGACGGGTTTTCTTTGAGAAGAATCTATTCTGACTTATGCCTCTCTGTGGTGGCTTCCTGCCTCAGGTTTTGAAAGTCAAGGCCCTCCACGATTCTGTGGGCTGCTTCTCTGAGGAGCCTCATAGCTCTGAGTTTTACAAGAGTTGATCCCAGAGGCCTGCATTTGCCTGACCAAGGACAAAGGTAGTAACTTAAATGCTCTTTTCTTGTTTTAAAATTTTTGATGTTTTAATTCAATTGTAATTGACATTCAGCATTATTTTAGTTTCAGGCATACTACATAGTGATTTGGTATTTTTATACATCACAAAATGATCACCATGAAAGGTCTAGTTACCACCTGTCACCATACAAAGTTATTGCAATATTATTGACTATATTCCCCATGCTGTACTAAGTACCATTGTGCCCACCTCTCTGCTCTTTAACTTAGCACAGCTTCAGTTACCCTCGGTCAACCATGTTCTAGAAGCAGATGATCCTCCTTCTGATGTGCTGTTGGAATATCAGTGGTACGCTAACGCTAGGTCACGATGCCTATGTCATTCACCTCACTTCACCCCCCAGGTAGGCATTTTATCATCTGCTATCATCACAAGAAGAAGAGTGAGTCCAATAAGATATTCTGGGAGAGAGAGAGAGAGCGAGACCAAATTCACGTAACTTTCATTACGGTCTATTCTTTTAATTTTTCTATTTTATTATCAGTTATTATTGATCTCTTAAGATACCTAATTTATAAGTTAAATTATCATAGGTATGTATGTTAAGTAGAAGACATAGTATGCATAGGGGTTTATACACAGTTTGGGGCATCAAGTTCGGGTCTTGGAACAGATAAGGGGAGACAACTGTATGCCTCTGTTTTATCAACACAGCTCAACAGATCTACAGGTCCACGAGTTAATCTTACAAATATTTAAGGAGTTCCTACAACATGTTTCAAGTGTAGGCCTAACTTTGGGGTAGGGAGGGGGTGGTGGGAGACTTCTTTCTTGGTAACTTTTAAAACCTGTATCAGATAGCTAATGCTCTATGCTGATACAGGAACAAGGGGCTAAAGCACAGTGGATTTTATAAGACAGAAGTTTAGTGCTATCTCATGTACTAGTCCAGAAGTAGTTAGTCCGCAGGGTCATCCTGCCACACTCCTGTGTAGCTTCCCTCTTAGGGTCCCACCCAAGCCTCTATCCCACTCACGGGCAAGAGGGAAAGGAAAGTGCTTGCATAGTGTTCCACTCACATCCCACTAGCCAAAAACTGGCAACACAGCCACCTCTAGTTGTAAGTGATATGGAAAAATACAGTTTCTAGTGGAGCACCTATGTGCCCAGCTGAAAATAAGAGCCTTCTTTACTGAAGAACAAATATCGATGGACACATACTAGTCTCTGACAACCTTTCTTTCATTTATTCACCCAGTCAACAATTATTTGTTGAGTGCCAGCCATGTATTTGGCACTGTTTTGACACAGTTGCTTATAATTCACTGATGTGCATGAACATATGCTCAGATAAAAAGTCACACTGTGCAGTGCTCTCTAATAAGGAGTTCAAATGCTATGCATCTTCAGGAATGAAAGCTGCATTCTGACTAGAGAGATTCATCCATTTGTTCACTCTATTTGTTGAGCACTGTGGTAGGCAGCCTCTAAAATGTCCCTAATGATCCCTACACCTGGTATTCACGTTCTTGTACAATCCCCTCCCTTGGAGTGGACTGGACCTAATGACTGGCTTCTAACAGACATAAGACAGCAAAAGTGATGGAATGTTGTTTCTGAGATAAGGTTACAAAAAGATCATGACCCCCATCTTGCTCACATGCCTGAATGCTCTCTCTCTATCTATCTCTGTCTATCTCTGAGCTCTTACTCCGGGAGAATCCAGCTGCTGTGTTTTGAGTAACTCTATGGAGAGCCTCATGTGACAAGGAAATAATATCTTCAGTCTATAGCCAACAAGGACCTAAAGCCTGCCCACAGCCATGTGACTGAGCTAGGAAGCCAACTTTCTGATGCATGCCAATAGCCTCATGAGTGAGTTTGGAAGTGGATCCTCTTGCAGTTGACCCTTGAGATGACTGAAGCCTGGCTAACACCTTTACTGATACCTAGTGAGAGACCCTGGGTGCAACCACCCAACTGAGCTACACCTGCACCTGAATTCCTGACCCACAGAAACTGAGATAACAGATACTGCGTCAAGCTGCTAAATTTTGAGGCAATTTGTTATGTAGCAATAGGTAACTGATACAAGTGCCTACTATTTTCAGGTAGTATGCTAGGCCCTAAGAAGGTGAAAAATGAGTGATGCCTTGTCACTGTGTTTGGGGAGAGGAGGAGACAGGTGTGTACACCAACATGGTTCCCATCATACGGGGGTTAAGTGTAATGGTGGGTATGTGATGAATGTGAGACGGAGATAGTGCAAAGGAAGGCCTTATCCAGAGGAAGAAGCGAGATGAGGAAAGTCATCCTGCAGAAGTCCCTGCTTCCAGGGAGGATGGGGGGAGGGGTGATCCCATGGAGAGGGGAAACATGTAATGCTGGGAGGTGAAATAGCATGGTACCTGCATGAGAACAGAGCACTTTAGTTCGTGTGAAAAGCAAGAGGTGAAGAAAAATGAGGCCAGAGAAATGACTAGAAACTAGTCTAATCTTGTGCTAGTGATTTATTTTAAAATAATCAATATTATGAAATGCTGCTTTGAGTGAAAGGAAGTAAAAACTTTTAAAAGAGTTAATAAGGGAACTAACTAGTATGTTCTTTTCAGCAGTCCAACACCTGAATTTTAAGAAGCCAAACTGAATTATCTAAAGAACACAGACAAGTGTAATTTGCTTCATTGTTTTTGCTCATAAAATCGAGCAGAGAACCGCTGACGTGTTTCCATGGAATAATTGTGCTTGCTATTGAAAAACTGGCTCAGGTGATATTTTATGAAATCTCTACTTTGAAAATCTGAGGGAAAGTTTGGAAAGTATTGTATGTTTTTTGTTTGGTTAATTGTTTTCCTGCTTTTTCCCCTCTCCCTCCTGGCTCTGGGGTTCCTGGAGGCTCAGATTCATATAAGCTGAATGACTGTTTAAACATCTGTCTTCCCTCCACCAGACCATGTGCAGTTAGAGGGTATGGCCTCTATCTTCCTTATCTTTGCCTCTATACTCCCTAAGACAATGTTGGCCCATAGTAGGTGCTTAGTAAATATTTGTTGGGAGACGTTGAAATATACCTGTTTATTCAGACGGTATTTATTGAGGCTCTGTCCTGAGTTAGACATGGCAGTAGGCACTTTGGGAGATGTAAAGAGAACTAAGAGTTGGCTTTTATCTTTGATGAGTTTTCAATCTTGTCAAACTCTGATAGAAACTGTCTCATTCATCTTGGTGTCCTGGTGCCCTATATATACAGTGTTTGACACATAGCATGTACTCAGTAAACTTTTGTCAATTAACTATAAGTTCAAGTGTTGGGCCAGAGGAGTTGCTTCAGACTGGTCACTCGTCCACGGCCCCAAATCTGCCAGCCCAGCAAACTCAGTCCCACAGAATTACTCCCAGCGGTCCAACAAGCTGTTATGGTTAGCTAGGAACAAAAGCCACTGGGAAAGTAACGCATCACTTTTCATCTGGGTGTTTCAAAAGGAACTGAGGTATTAAAATAAGGTCACAGTTGTCCCAATCAGATCATCTTTTCAAAGGAATTATAGGGTATGGAGCCAACAGTGACCACATACACCTTAGCAGTCATCAGAACCAGTATTTTCGACACTGAAAGCAAAATCAAGTAAACAAGGTTGTGTTGTGCACTTCCTTGACCCAGACTTTCAGGAAGGAGCTGACACACTGCCCAGACTCGCGCTCACCCACATAGCTCCGAAGCCAAACAAACTCGAGAAGCTCATGTTTTCCCAGCTGTATGATGCACTCACTTCACCAAAAGACCAGCCAGAAAACAAGGAAAAGAAAAAAAATATGCGTAGTTCAGACCAGGCAAGGAAAGAAGAATTGCTTCAGCTGGCCTTTGTTTTTCTATTTTCGTGAAGTATCAAGAAATACATAAATGGAGGAAGCTAGATTAATGGCTCTTAGTTACTGGAAAGGAAACAAAATATTTTTTCTTCTTTTAAAGACCTGATCACATTATTATGCTGCTCCTTAAAAGCTTCAGTGACTTTCTGCTTTATAATCTTCAAACCCTTTGGTATCTTTCCCAGGTTTTTCACAATTCGTTTAAAACAACCTTTCTCGCCACATCTGCCCCATTTCCTCCCACTCAAATCTGTTCTTGAGCTTTGCTAGGCTTCCATTGTCTTAAATACGTCATGTGCTTTATTGCCCACATGCTTCTGTTCATCCTATTTCTTCTGCTTGTAATACCCTTCCTTGTCTTGATCTCTAGGGAAACTCTTACTCATCTTTCAAGGCCAGTTAAAAAGACATTTTTCACTCTCAGTCACCCCAGTATTATAATATAGAATTAGCTGCTCTTACTTCTGTCTCCTCATAGGACTACTTTGTGTGTACCTTGTATTGCACTTCTTTCTGTATCATTCATTCATTCTACAACAGTCATTGTCTTTGCAGACAATCCTCTGCTAGGCACTGGGGAGCCAGGTATAAAAGTCTCTAACTAGTGGAAGATTCACACAAGTATATTAATTGTTGCAAGACAGAATTATAAGTTCTTCGGTACGTAAGTATAGGATGCTCTGGGAGATCAGGGGAGTCAGTTGGCGAAAGAGGATCTGGAAGGCTTCTTGGAGGAGAAGGCACCTCAGGCACCTAAAGGACAAGGAGTTTTTGCATCCAACTGCTCATTCTTGGCAGAGCACTGCTTGAAAAAAGAGGTCAATTATAGATCATGTCAAATCAGGTGATTTATTCCACACGTTTCTTGTGTGCTTTGTTAGGAGACAAATACTGTTACTATCAGGAGCAGTTTAGGAACTAGGGAGGAGCAGTTGGGAAGGAGAGACATGGATGAAAGGAAATATTAGAGGAAATCAAGGATAATTCCCAGGTTTCCAGTTTAGGCAAATGGGTGGAGAGTGGATCAGGGCTACTCTGCATAGGCTGTGGAGTCACAACGGGCAAGGCGATGCAGAAAGGGAAGCAAATCCAGCAGGGAAGAGTCGAATTGTTCATACCACAGTACCAGCACTTTGTATATGATGTTGGCATGGACTGGAATTAAGAGAATTGTTTTGTTGTTCTGTTTATTCTTTAAAGTAGGTCTTCTGTGGTCTTCTGAGTGGATTGGGAAGTTCAATTTCCTACTCTGCTCACTTGGCTCCTTATTTTCAGAGACCAAGAGTTCCTACTCTGAATCAGTGAGGTATTTCCTACATCCCTTGTGTCTTTAGATCATTTTGAACACTTGTACTGGAGGAGATGTTTGGATATCTGGCTTAAATGAAGTTTGAAAAGTAGGCGTGAAATTGAATAATTTATTCAGTTATTAGCATTAATTATAACCAATCAATTTTATTATTAATAATGATGGTTATTATTTATTATTTACCAAAAGTTGGCTTTAGTTAGAATAGATTCAAGCTACAATTTGATCATCTTACAATAGTGGTATGCCATGTTAACCTAAAGGTTTATTTACTTTTATCCTTTTTTTTTCCTTGTACATAGTGGAAGACATCTCAGCAGGAATTCTAATCACCTAAGATTCTTTACCAAAATAAATAATTCCTTTAAAAAATGTTTTAATGAATCCTTAAGACACGCTAAGTAATTCCTTTCTTCTGAGTTTGACTCTCTAAAACATCCCTTGGGTTATCACTTCACTTCCTCTTACATTTAGAGAGAAACATAAATCTTTTAATAAATGTACTACTTTAAAGTATATCCAGGCCTTTCAATAAAATCAGCTCTTCATTATTCTTGATTGCTATTCTTTGCCTTTTCCATCTCTTTCTAGAAATACTGGATCCCAACACATGTATCCCATAAAAGTAGACAATACGTTCTACAAAAGTCAGCAGGGGGGAATGCTTCGCTGTCATCCCTTTGCTCTGCCTATTTTTTCTACTCAGCCTTCTGACAACATATTTAACTTGCTTTTTTTTATGAGTCCTATCCTTTTTTTTTTTTTGGTATTTTGTTCTTCAAATGTATTTCTCTTTTAAGCTACTTGTGGACCATTTTCTTCTTGTTCACAGTTCAGAAGAAATCTTATTAATAACTTTAGACTCCAAACCCTGTCTTTTGTGATTTAAGTGGGAGAGAGACAGGAGGTAGTTAACTCTGCATTATCTGTGTGTAATGGTTTGCCCAGTACATGCATAATATATGCAAGGCAGTGTTTATAATTAGTCTTTTTAATAACAAATTGTTGTGGGAGCACTATTTTTACAATATCATTCTTAATTACATGACATTTTTATCTATTCATGAAAGCAGATCATTTAAGGAAATGATCTTCAAATATTTGCCTGCATACTCCTCCAGAAAATTTGAAAATTATATATTCTTTATCCATTTTTTAAGTAAACATCTAAAAAGTTTCATGATAAGCTTGAATATTTGCAAGGGATGTGATTTCTGACATGTTATAAATACTACCATTAAAGAAAACTCTTATATTACTCTCTTTAATGTTTCCCAAGAAATTATAAATACTATAGCAATTTGATACCAATGGTTATGATTTGATATCCGTCACTATCTAGTTAAAAAGTACATGAACAAGCATTCCTTTGATAGACAGTTTCACCATCTTTTCTCCATTCCAGTTCTCCAATTTTCATGATAAGCTTGAATATTTGCAAGGGATGTGATTTCTGACATGTTATAAATACTACCATTAAAGAAAACTCTTATATTACTCTCTTTAATGTTTCCCAAGAAATTATAAATACTATAGCAATTTGATACCAATGGTTATGATTTGATATCCGTCACTATCTAGTTAAAAAGTACATGAACAAGCATTCCTTTGATAGACAGTTTCACCATCTTTTCTCCATTCCAGTTCTCCAATAGAATTATAGTCTATAATAGTGTTTTAATGCTTGAATTTAATAATGTTTAATGCTTGGGCACAGTACCATACTTTCCACACACACACACACACACACACACACACACACACACACACAAATGTAGGTTGAGGGCTGCACAGTGTCTTAAATATTTTTCTTCTGAATTCAGTTATTGTTGGCACAGAACTAGTCAAAACAATAGACAAATATTAAAATTTTGATGCATAACTTAAAAAGTAAATTTGTTAATTAGAATTGCATTCATTAATAAACTGAGTGGCTTTTCTCAGTTCTTTCTTCTGTCATGGGTGGGTTATTTATTGGTAGAATGAGAGAGGGCAGGGCATCCATCCTATTTCTACTTATTATCTTTATAGATACAGGCATTCAGAATTTGTGTTCACATAAATCAGTACGTCAGAATGGATTTAATAGCATTCGAGTTAAATCTACTTCAGGGGCATAAGGCAAATAGACATGGTCATATATCAAAAAAATATGCTTAATGATCTATCAGCTGACAATTCAATTAGGATGTCCTTTAATTCTGTTGAAAGTAAAAAATTGGGAACCACCAGTTTTGCAAAAGGATTTATTCCCCAGTCATTAGAATCCAGTGACTCAGCTGAAGAGTTAAACACCAATATTTGGAATTGCCCCTTTGTAGAGAGAGGTTTCTGCATTTCCGTGCAATGCACAGGGTAGTTTCTAGCCAGGTGGAGATGAGCCTTTCTTTTGTAAGGTAGGAGGATAGACCTGATGAAAGGACAGGAAAGAGAGGAGAACCATAATGACAAGCCCTCGGACATTAATTTTTGGAAAGAATATTTATAGTAGTTGAGGATCTGAAGTTGATTCTTTAAAATTATCCTTTTACACGTACCCTTTGGAAAGCCCTCAAATAATATGCCAATTTGAAACCACTGTTACAAAAATCTCTGCTGAGTACCACTACTTGTTCACTTGACAATGGAGCATTTTCTCTTCTCAGAACACCTATTAATATCTGGAAGAACAAATGTTTCTTGGAATACTCCCTGGGAAATGATGCCCTAG